TGCGACGTTGTAACTTCATTATCAGTTTTTACCAACTTAACAGTCCCATTTTCACTTTCTTCCAACTCCACTTCAAGCACTTGAGAATCAAGAACTTTATGTCCACGAATTGTTCCTTTATCTTTTTCAGATGCTATACTAGCCACTTCTTTTATTTCTTCATCTTTACAAACATGATTATCACTTTCTTCCATCTCAACTTCAGGCATTTGGGACTCAAGAGCTTCTTTGCCATCTTTCATTTCTTCACTCTCGTAAGATGTTTCATCTTTCATTTCTTGATCTTTCTCAGACACTACTTCCTTCATCTCTTCATCCTTTGATTCTTCAGATGCGATTTCTGCCATTTCTATATCTTCTTTCATAGCTTCAGTTTCTTCTGAAAGCTCCACTTTCATCTAGAGTTGCTCTCGCAGGTCTTCTTGGCCAACTTTTATCTCTTCTCGTCCAACTTTCATCTCTTCCGGCCCCACTTTCATCTTAGCCGTGATCTCTTCATATCCAGCTTTTATTTCATCATATCTGGCTTTTATCTCAACCTTCATCTCTTCATATCCGGTTTTAATCTCTTCCCTCTTCCAGTCTCTAGTAGTTAAACTAAGTGTGTACCTACACTTAAACCTGCACATCCTCTTCACTAATACTAACCTTTCTCCGAACATGTAATTAAATCCAAGATATTGGCCACGGACGCCGAACGTATTTTAAAACTGAGAGAATCTTCCTCAATCAACTCATCATCTCCAAACATGATCATATCCAGCTTTTATCTCATCATATCTGGCTTTTACCTCAGCCCTTATCTCTTCATACGCGGCTTTAATCTCTTCCAGTCTCTAGTAGTTACACTAAGTGTGTACCTCCGTTTAAACCTGCACATCCTCTTCGCTAATACTAATCTTTCTCCGAACATGTAATTAAATCCAAGATATTGGCCACGGACGCCCAACGTATTTTAAAACTAAGAGAATCTTCATCAATCAACTCGTCATCTCCAAACATGATCATAGGTCACAATTTACGGCAGCAGAGATGTAAAGAAATGTTCATTATGTTTTTCCAAGGAAGAGATAAAGTAAATCTGGCGTCTTTCAGTGTGAATTTCTTTAGAAAATCATGGACACTCCCTTCAAAGATCACGCATCGATGCAGGCTCATCTTTATGTTCTACATCAGCGGTTCTCAACCTTTTGACTAACTCCTACCATCTAAACAAAAATTGAAAACCTTTAGTACCACCACTACAAAGTACTACTACCACTCTTGAACAAAGCTCAGATCGTGTAAATTTACGAGTGTTAGAGAAAAATCAGGATGTTGATGTTTTAATTTTTGAATTTAATAGTTGAAAATACTTAGCTCCTTTGCGTACCACCAGTTCAGAACCCCTGTTCTAGATAGTTCTTTCTCCGGGCTTGAATAATTCTTCTTACGTTGGGCGTCAGAAACGTTTTCCCCCTTTGAAATCTTTAAACATAAATGTTTTCCCCCCTTTAAATCTTTAAACTGTGAACGTATTACATACTTTTTATCTTACGTACTTACCACCAATTAAGTTGCTCTACCGCCTGTTATATGACTATCAGCATTTGTACTCAATTGGTGGAGCATTCTTTTGTCGCTAGGCCCAGCCAAAAATCTCTATGGAATATTAAAATTTGTAGCGGAATTTATAAGATGGATAAAGATAAGATTGTAGCGGAAGATGGGTATTTGTGACCTGTGGTTTCGAATTTAAATGGAGACCTTTCAAAAGTTCCGTTTGTTTTGATACGGTCGGTTAATTGTCTGCCGGTTACGAGAAATTTTACTGTACTTTATGCGTCAATACAAAATACGTTTTTACGCGATTCCAGTGGGGCCATTTGCAGTATCTCCTCACCCCACCCCTCCACGAACGCACATGGTCCGTAATTCTTCTCAAAAGCATGATAACCCTACCTTAGTATGAAGTTTTCGAGACTTTGTTTTACTTATTTTCGCTAGCAACTGAGCGATTGTGAAACGTAATTTTTCCTTGAAGTTATTTTTCATGCAATAGTATCACTGCATTTTTAGTTGATATTTAGAATATCAAAAGAAAGGGGGATATGAGCCATATTTTCGTCCTGAGGTAGATTACCTGTTTTATTTTTATTACTTATTCCCTTTCTACATCCCCCACTATTTTTAAATATTACTGAACAACCGATTAAATGAATGGAATTTAGGTAGAGTCTCACAATAACTATATTTTGTTCTAGCAATGTTTTATGACAATCATATATTATCTTATTGTAACCATATCGCCAGACGAGAAAGCGCTTCCAGTGTGGCAAGTTTAAATGAAATTATTTCAGATTTTATTTATTTACTAGCCCAGATGGACTATTAAAAAAGTCTGAATCCCTTATCAAATTACCGCCAAATATTAGAGCCCTGCATTGCATTTAAAGAAATTAAATTGTAGAGGCATTAGGTTATTTCGAAGCCGGAGAGATGAAAAATGAGCAACGCCTTCGCCGGTGTTCGAATCACGGGCCTCTCGAATACGCGCCGAGCGTACTGACCACTACACTACGAAGGCATGCAAGAAGACGGGAGAAATACCTTATAAAATAATGAAGAATCTGCACGAATGTATGTATGTCTCTCGCACTGTGAGAAAAAAACTACGGTACCTAGCGACATCAAATTTTGAACAACGTAGTCCTCCACTCGAATATGGGCATCTGGAAGCCCAAGTTTGCAATCTGGAATTTGTTTTATTATCTATTTCATATTTTGCAAACATTGAACGAATTTTTGATTAACAAACTCAACGATTTCAAAGCATTCCATTAGCATTAACATCGCGTGAATCTTCAAGTATGTATATTTTATGGCGTTTCGAAAGAGCGCGAAGATACTGTATCCGAAATATGTTCGTTTCATATCTAGAGTCTTCAAAATGCAACGGCAATTCTAAAGATACATATATTCTTTCATACATTGTCACAAGTCTTCAATACGTTGTCATAACTGACAGTTAATTAATCAATAAAAGGGAGCATCCGTCACTCTTTCATACGGGTCTCAGCCGGTTAAAAGCGGTATAGGATTCACGTTTTTCAGCCTGAAGGAAATCGTGCTTATGAAACCTTATCTTCCAAAGATTTTACGGCGATCATTAAAAAAAAAAAAAAAAAAAAGGCACAACGCACAACCGAAGACGGAGTTTAACGGTTTATGTTTCGGAAACCGAAAGCTGACGTCCTTAGATTATCATTTGTTTACTCAGATTAAGAGATTAACAGCATAGATTTTAAAGATGGAAGTATCATCTTATCGGCGATTTATAAGTCTTAAAAATGAATTTTATGATATTTTAGAGGTCACGTGTAGGTTATTGTGCCTCTTTTTTTTTACGATAAATAGCACGTGGCGGTGTTATCATGCTAAAAGTTTCATTCGTAAGTTTGCTTCGAACCAGTTATGCTTTTATGCGATTGGTTATCTTGTTTGAAAATTTAGAAATGCTTTAGAGAGGTCAGCGAAGATGTCCTTGTAGCTCGCCTTTTTAATAAAACGTTTTTTAATTATGTTTTTATAATCGATGAATGAGTCCTGTTTCTCTTGAAGGGGTGTCTAAATGATTTTTATAGACTGAAATAATAAAATTCCAACGATGAAATTTTCAATCTGATTCGGTTTTTTTTAATTAATTAAGTTATTTTTTTTTTCATGCCGCCCAACCGGTATAGAGGTTAGCGGCGCTGACTGCCGTGCCCGAAGGCCTCGGGTTCGAATCCCGGAGAAGACATAGATGTTTGTAAATGTACAGTGTTCGTGTGGCATGGGGGTACTCTAAACGCGGCAAAACAAAAGTCCTCTCGAGAGGTTGGTGGTAGGGAAAGAGGGGTGGGTGACCCTTTTGGACCCGTCCCCCCCCGAGGTGTTCATCAAAACTAGGGGTGGAACTGAGCTAAATCGCACTTTCACATGTAAGGTTTTTAAGGCTGTTGCCAACGAAAGGAGTAAACTTGTGCTCCTTGCCACATGGATTTTCGTGGGCTTGGACTAAATCTAGGTCAACCAAGCGAGATTTAGCAACAACAACAACAAGAGAAGTTTTTACTTTGCATATGATGTGAGAATATTTAAATCTACCAACTCACTTTTACTGAGATACAAACTAGCATGAAATTATACAAGTAAAATAGGTTGATTTCAATCATTTGAGATCATTCTTGAAAATTTAGGCACCTCTCCATAAGAAAATTTGCTTTATCATCCCTTTCACATAAAGACTAAAACAGACTTCACAAACAAAACTGACTCCCATTATAACAAGCCCTCGAGTCCTACAGAAAAAGGACGTTAATACAAGCCCCTGCTATAGTAAACATGCATTAATAGACACTCATCGGTCGGGAATGCTGTACACCTGTCGTTGCAACAGAATGGTCGCTATAACAAATGTCCGTTATTACGAGCATCGATTGCGATTTTATCTGAGCGAATTTCGAAATTATTTTAAAGAATTTTTAGAGATTTGGCGAATATCAAATATATTTGTAATAATTTTCGTGTTTAACAGCAATATAAGCTAGTTTTTGTTGAGCGCTGAGTACTGGGATTTCGAATTAAAATCGAACCCATACGACCGAATTGGCTACGTAGTTTGCACGTGGCCTTCTCCATGTGTTACGTGAAAAGGAGCCAGTTTCCACTATAAAGCCCTCTCCGACGGCATCCTGCCCCTTAAACCTGTAGCCCTCTTTCGTCTTGTTATATTCAATAGTCTAATCTCCTGAGACAAGTGGAATCTTTTTTTCACTTAACGCAGTAGCACTCAATTCTCCCCGCAATTAAGAATTACTCACTTTTTAACTGCCTTTAAAATAGTTTCATTTAAAAAAATTAGCTTGCCTTTCAGTCTTTATAACTTTCGTACTTCAGGACAGGGATTTTGGAAGGGTATAGCTTTTCTCCTGCAAGAAACTTGCAGGAAAAGACTGAAGCAAAATCATATACCTTTGATGCAAGAAACTTGCAGGAAAAGACTGAAGCAAAATCATATACCTTTGATGCAAGAAACTTGCAGGAAAAGACTGAAGCAAAATCATATACCTTTGATGCAAGAAAAAAAGACTGAAGCAAAATATACTTTGATGCAGAAACTTGAGGAAAAGACTGAAGCAAAATCATATACCTTTGATGCAAGAAACTTGCAGGAAAAGACTGAAGCAAAATCATATACCTTTGATGCAAGAAACTTGCAGGAAAAGACTGAAGCAAAATCATATACCTTTGATGCAAGAAACTTGCAGGAAAAGACTGAAGCAAAATCATATACCTTTGATGCAAGAAACTTGCAGGAAAAGACTGAAGCAAAATCATATACCTTTGATGCAAGAAACTTGCAGGAAAAGACTGAAGCAAAATCATATACCTTTGATGCAAGAAACTTGCAGGAAAAGACTGAAGCAAAATCATATACCTTTGATGCAAGAAACTTGCAGGAAAAGACTGAAGCAAAATCATATACCTTTGATGCAAGAAACTTGCAGGAAAAGACTGAGCAAAATCATATACTTTGATGCAAGAACTTGCAGAAAAACTGAGCAAATCATATACCTTGAGCAAGAAACTTGCAGGAAAAGACTGAAGCAAATCATATACCTTTGATGAGAAATTGCAGGAAAAGACTGAAGCAAAAATACATACCTCATATACCTTTGATGCAAGAAACTTGCAGGAAAAGACTGAACAAAATCATATACCTTGATGCAAGAAACTTGCAGGAAAAGACTGAAGCAAAAATCATATACCTTTGATGCAAGAAACTTGCAGGAAAAGACTGAAGCAAAATCATACCTTGATGCAAGAAACTTGCAGAAACCAAAATGAGCAAAATCATATACCTTTGAGCAAGAAACTTGCAGGAAAAGAATGAAGAAACAAAATTCATAGACCTTTGATGCAAGAAACTTGCAGGAAAAGACTGAAGCAAAATCATATACCTTGATGCAAGAAAAACTTGCAGGAAAAGACTGAAGCAAAATCATATACCTTTGATGCAAGAAACTTGCAGGAAAAAGACAAGAAACTTGCGCAAAAAAACTATACCTGAGCAAAACATGATGCAAGAAACTTGCAGGAAAAGACTGAAGCCTTGAAAATCATATACCTTTGATGCAAGAAACTTGCAGGAAAAGAATGAAGAAAAATCATATACCTTGATGCAAGAAACTTGCAGGAAAAGACTGAAGCAAAATCATATACCTTTGATGCAAGAAACTTGCAGGAAAAGATGAAGCAAAATCATATCCTTGATGCAAGAAACTTGCAGGAAAAGACTGAAGCAAATCATATACCTTTGATGCAAGAAACTTGAGGAAAAGACTGAAGCAAAATGCAATACCTTGATGCAAGAAAACTTGCAGGAAAAGGACTAGCAAAATCATATACCTTGATGCAAGAAAACTTGCAGGAAAGACTTCAGAAGTACGCTATAAGAATTTGGCTTGCTCGTTATAACGTGCTTTCACTAATTAAGCATTTTTGCTTAGAAGTTTAACTTAAAAAAAATTTCAGTATGTTTTAAAAATAGTTAAAGACCATTTAATACGCACTTTCTCTAAAATTATACTGTAATTTTCTCATATTAAACTTATAAAGTATTTTCTGCCTCCTTTCTGCATGCCTTTGAGGTGTAACGGTAGCGTATTCGAGAGGTCCAGGTTCGAGTCCCGGCGAAGGCACTGCATATTTTTCATACCTCCTACTTCCAAATAATCCAATGACTACAAACTCAAATATATATTTTCCATGAGGATTTTTTTCAAAAACGACGATAAACGTAATTATTACAGCTACATTGCATTCTTTTGTTCAAATATTTATTCTTAAAATTTGTTAATTATAATTATTTTAATAAATTATTGTTAAATGGTTTTCAGAAAATTAGCATTCTATTGAAACTTATTTCTCTGTTATATTTCCTTATTTTAATCTTGAAATTTTTCTGCAAAATAAGGAATTTTTTGGTGAAAATAAAGTTTTCTTATTTCTGTTTTGTTAATATGTGAAATTTTCTTACTTTATAAAAGAAACGTTTCTGTGCGTGTTTTTCAAAACTCACTTAAAAAATTGTTGTTAGAAATCATTTTTAATTAATTTTTAAACATTTAATGCTTTAAAAATATAAATTTATAGGCAATGAAAGCATAAATAAAGGAGCGCATGATATTTAAGTAATTATGCTGTGTAAAAGAAACTTGCATTTCTACTATTTTATAATATTTATATATAAATGGTAAAATAGTAATAATTGCGATTTAACTTAAAATTTTCTAAATGAGTCATAAATAATATCACCACACAAATAAAATCGCATATTAGGTATATAAAGCAGCTGAAATTTGATGTTAGAAAGCATATTTTATTATATTACGCGATGATTAAGTTCGATAGTCGGGCTTAAGGGTCGAATTTCAGACGGAGGTTGTGACGTCACGCCACAGCTTCCGTGGCCGTTTTTATTGTTCGTGGTGCTAAGGCCAAGCATAAGACAAGCGCTTACAATATCTTGGCCACGATGAATTGATTATATTGGGTGTTATAACTAAAATGAAAACAAATTAAACTTTAAGACCTCCCGTCAACTTAATAGGTACTTGTGTAGAGACATTAGGATTTTTTTTTTTTTTTTTTTTTTGAAGTCAGAGAAATGAAAAATGAGCAAACGCCTTTCCCGGGAATCGAACCGCGGACTTCTGGAATACCGACCTAGTGTGCAGAACCACTACACCACGAAGGTACGTTAGAAAGCGGGAGAAATACCTTATATACTTCCCTTTTTAAAGGGCGACAAGGGTTTTAGGGGACCTAGTCGCCAAATCCTGGGTATGAAGAATCATCACCACAACCCTTTTAATTCGGGCGCCACTGTAGGATTCTTTTTTCGAAGCCAGAGAGATGAAAAATGAGCAAACGCCTACGACGGGAATTGAACCTTGGACCTCTGGAATACCGGCCCAGTGTGCAGAACCACTACACCACGAAGGCACGCCAGGAAAGTGGAAGAAATACCTTATACTTAAGACACAATAACACGCCGAATAAATACTAATTCAGAAGTCAAACAAAGTGAAAATTTTGTAAATATAACGCTGATTTTTGTTGTTTCACTTCTGAATTAGTACCTTATACTTGTTAGAACTCTAAGTCTGACACCGGATTACTACAGAAATTTCTACGTAAATGCTAATGTATGTTCTTAAGAACTGCATCTGTTGCTTTCAAATAGCTTAAATTGTTGATCCACAACAGAGAGATTCAATTTGAAAGATGAATATTGTACATTTTCCCGATTAGCAACTGAAAAGTGAAATGAAGCATTTGTAGTGATCCGATTTAAAATCGTGTTTCGAGACCAATAGCGCTTTTGGTCTGAGAATTCAACATATGTGACTTTACAAACCACCATCTTTAAACATACGTTTGATTGGTAAATTATCCATAAGCCAAAAGTGAAGAGGGACGAAAAATCACTTTACAGCATTTAGATATAAGATAATACGTAATAAGCGATTTCACGTTTCACTGACTAAAGAAAGAATTTCTTGTTTAAAATTGAAAACTCTGAAGATAAAGCTACCCTCTCACTAGTTTCATCTTAAAAAACCATACTATACCGGTTCAACGAGTCAGCTTATTTAATTCCACGCTCTGATTAATCAACACGCAGAACTTGAATGAGTAACTTTGCCATTTTCACACTTTGATACGTAAGTACAAAAAGACAGAACCAACCTTCTAATGCTATCAAATTGGTTGTTCTCATTTGAAAGGCTAATCTGTCGTTAGTAACTTAGCTGATAAACTGTAAGATCATTGAAGTATAAGAGACTCTAAGAATTATTTAAGATCAGCTTATTATAAATACAAGCATTACTTGTTCTTTCGAGTCTAAATTGTTGCCTCTAATTTCGGAATAAAATCTTCAGACATAAGCACGACAATGTGCATATTTAGTTACAGAAAGCGCACATGGCATGCACATAAATATAGTTTTTATTGGAAATTTATTGTGAAGTGATAAAATGATAATTTTTAGAAAGATAAACCAATATTTTGTTGTTGACATGGTTAATCTTGCTTGCTTGAAATCAGAGCAAGCCCTCGAAATTCATGGTGGCAAGGAGTCACGATTGCTCCTATCGTTGGCAAAAAAGCTGTGGCCATCATACAAGCGACAGAATTATTTTTTTCAGTTCCGTGTCCCAATTTTAAAAAACAGCTTCCCAGGAGACGGGGTCCAATGGTCTCTCCTTTTCCCCTACCACAACCTCTGGAGAGGACTTTCGGCTCGCCCCATATTTTGAATGCCTCCATGTCGCGCAGACACTATACATTTATCCATGCCGGACTCTTTGGTATGGTAGTCTTTGGTATATTAAGTCACTAACCCCTATCCCCGTTGGGTGGCAATTGATGTTTTAAAGCTGTGATAAGGATTCTTGTGCTATGGTCACACATCATTAAGTTTTTTAATCTCTCAGCAATATAATAAATTAGCTATTATTTCTTTTTTAACTACTTCATCTTGTTTAGTTTGTAAATTTTATGCTTCTAGTACTCATGCTTAATTAAACATAAGTTATAAATTTAAGCGAGCCCACCAGCGGCCGAACGGTAAAGTCGCTGAACACTGGTAGTTCGGTCCGAGGTTCGAATCCCGTGAACAGGCTGGCTGCTTGGGTGTTTTCGTGGTTTCCCCCATGTGTAACGTGTATGCGAGGCAGTTTCTCTTAGAAAGTCCTCTACGAAGGCATTCCTTCCCTTAGGCAGACAGCCCTCGAGGCTTTGCCGTAATTAAATAACCAAAAACTATAAATGTAAGATATATCCAAATTTGTTTTAATGAGAAAGCTGAATGTATTTTTAAAAGGTAATAAATGTAATAATTTTTTATGTTTGTTATTTCTATACTATCACTTTCTATTGTTGTTTGAAATTCTGCTAATAGCCTACAATTGCAAATGAGAGCGCTATGAATTTATTTTTATTCACGTGCAATCAAAAATAATATGATAGCAAAAAAATTCCCTTCTCGGTACATTTAATTAAAATCGCGTAATTTAAAGAAAAATGTTATCTATCTTATTTTAAATTGAGTCGCTAAACACTTGTAATTCGACCTATTTTCAATTTCAGGGGACTGAGCTGGCAGCATGGGCGTTTCCGTGGTTTTTCTCAATGTGTAACGTGTATACGAGCCAGTTTTCTTTAGAAAATCCTTCACGAAGGCGTTCGTCCCCTTAGACAAATATCCCCAGTGATGTGCTTTGCCATAATCAATCAAACGAAGACACAGTTATTTCGTGGAGTTAATACTTAAACATTTCTTTCATTAAGTTTCAATACAAATTATAAACTTGGCTTACTATTTTAACTACATTTCTTTCATCAGGTTCTAATAAAAAAATTCTAAACTTGATTTAATATTTTTACATTATTGATCATGTTGTTTTTTAATCACCGTTGTGGTGAATCTTTGTTTACTTTTCGTTGTGAAATTGTACCTTATCCATCG